ACGGGGAGCAGAGGGCCAGGTCTATTTCCTCCTGAGCCACTGGGTGGATTAGAACTACCAACCTTTCAGCTAGCAGCTAAGAGCTTGGCAGGTGTGTTGCCAGGGCTCTTCGCTCTTTGTCCTTGCTTTACAGCCACCAGGGCTTTCCATAGTATTGCATTAGAGGCACAAACTGCAAAGCAGAATATCGAGGAAATGTTCAAGTTTTGCTCCCCTCCAGGTGTTCCAAAGTGGCCTTGCTTTCTTTGGCACTTGAGATCCGACCTCTGTCTTTAGTGGGATGGCCAGATTGGCAGAATTCTCAGTGCGTTCTTGGCAGAAATGCTGGCAAAAATGTGCCAAAGAATGTCGAGGAATTGCCCATTCATTCTGTAGCCAGACAACCCCACACGTTGTCTGACCACGGAACCTGTTTGGAGCATAGCTGAAAGAGAATGGATCTTCCTAATGAGAGAGAGATAACGAAACTCTGAAATGCCTGCAGGTCATCAAGGGGGCCTTGGGGATGCCGCTGGGTTCCTGTTACATGTCAGAAGTAGATTCCAGCTTCTTAGAAGGGCCGTGTGGGATGTGTCTGTCAACAGCCATCTGTTGCCCACATGCCTATCTTAACTCCAGTCTTAAACGGGATCATACTGGCGGCTTCTCATCTTTGACAGTGGAATTTTGCAACTGTGTGGATTCTGTTCTCAAAACCCATCCGGGTAGCTGGACCCGTCCCTGGGGCACGCTGTTTAGGATGCCTGTTGTGTCTCTTGCCGACCCAGAACAGTACAAGTAGCCTCCCTTCGAGCAAGCATAGTGTCGTCATACTTACTGGGATCTGCTCCCCAAATTATGCCCCCTTTCCAGGTATTTTCAGCTCCCCAAAAGCACCGTGTTGCAGGGAAACACCAATTAAGGAAGCATCTCTGTGTACTGTTTTTCTTCCCTAAAATCCCAGTGACGCAGAGCAAAAGCTTGGTGTTTTCTCAGAGCTGTCTCCCACATGCAGGTGACAAACTCGGAGGTGCTCCCTGAATGGGGAGTTACTGTACCAGGGAGGCTGCAGCATGCAGCAGGAGCGAACCTGCCAGCCAGGGAATGAAATACCCACTTTGAAGTGCCCACTCTGAAACTAATTTGATGCAGGGCCATGGAATAGGCTCCTCTCCTCCCTGGACTAATTTTCTTGGCTATAAAACTGGAGACTGGTAAAAGTCTGTTCCAGAAAGTGTGAGAGTGAGGATAGGTAGCACAGATCAGAAGGCACAGGGTCTAGAAACAATTTGAGATGCTGGAGGATCAGGAGGTGAGACAGAGAGAAGTCAGGCTAAGGAGGGTTTGCCTTTGTTCTGGAAGGAGAAGGGAACCCAGGGCTTCTAGGAAGGGCCTTGTTGGTAGGTGCTGTCAAGTCAGAACCAACTCTTAATTGACTCTTCAGTGGCTTTTCAGAGGTTGTAAATCATACGAGAAGAGATTGACTATCTTTATCCTGCAGAGCTGGTGGATTTGAACCACCTACTTTTTGTGTTAGCAACTCAACCCCTTTGCCCTCTAGGCCACCAGAGCTCCCTAGTAAGGGCCTGGATGTGCTCAAATCTTCACAAAATCAGCAGCAAAGAAGACAAGCAATTGAGGCTGCAACTGAGAGACTGAAAAGGACTGGGTTTTGGAGTTCTTTGTCAAGGGCCTTTCTTTGCTCCTGGAGAGCTCCCTGATTATGCAATTCACTACCGAAGTACAGCTTGGCCAAGGCTGGGAGGGGAGAGCCAGATGTGACATGATGAGATGTGTAGGATGGCAGAATATGGAACTTTCTTGGTCTGAGGAGCAAAAACTCGAGTCAGATGTACAGTTTTCCTGAAGGGAGCCTTGCGTGGATGAAGGTGGAGACTAAAGAGACAGCCCTGGGTGGGTGGTGAGACGGTATCAGGTTTCTGTCTTTTCTCTTGTTTTAGTTCTATCATAGTGGAAGCTGAGCCCTGGTAGCACACTGGTTAAGCGCTGATCTGCTAACTGAACAGTTGGCAATTCAAATGCACCAGCCATTGTGAGGGAGAAAAATCCTGGCATTTCCTTCCGTAAAGTCTCCATTCTAGGAAAGCCTCTGTCATACACTGTCATAGAGGGTCTCTGTGAGCTCCAATTGTCTTGAAGGCACACAGTAATATCAACAGCAAGTATTGTAGGGCAAAGGGATTTGGGCTTACCAGGAGAGGGCAAAGATCTAACAATGACAAGAGCAACCTGGAAAGAACAGGCTGGCTTAGGGGGAGTGAGCATTACTCACTGGCAGCAAAAGTAGGGAAGGAGCTGAAGGTTGCCAGTGTGTATGGGGGAAGGGCACATTGGAAAGGGGCTGATGACTGAGGCCTGGGTGGCTGCTCCCCCCAGCTGTGGAGGTACAGGGCTCTCAATCTCAGGAATGGGGGGTACCTTCTCTGGGGTCTACGGGGAGGTGAGAGATATCCTGAGTGTACAAGTGGTGGGTCCTGCCCGTCCAGCTCCTAGTCTGCAGAATCAGTTCTTCAGCAGCCCAGAGAGGAAGGAGGAAATGGAGTGATGCAGGGTAATCATGGGAAAACAGGGGTCCTGCTCCTTTCCGGGGCTGGTTGGGCTTCTGGATGGCCCTGCCCACTGAGGACTATATTCTGCTGAGCGAAGGGGGATCTAGGAGAAACCCAGCTCCCGGAGTGGCTTCTGTCCCTGTGGCTAGCCACACTGTCGGGTCTGGGTTGGCAGTGGGGGCCTCCAGCACTGACCCTAGCTGAAGCAGGTCCTTCACTGCATCCCTTAATTGCAAAGCCCCAATTAAGGGTAATTACAAGATCTATGAGATGATTCAGCCACGCTGGCTCCCCAGGCTGTCTTCCAGAACTCAAACTCCTCTGGAAAAGATGTCTAATTGTCTGGAGCAAGATTTACAGCCTTCCTCCCTACACTCCAACTCCACACAAGACAGAACACAGAGGAGCCTGCCGGCAGATGGGGCTCTCCTGCTGGATAATCTCACCCAAGGGGTATTGAGACGTTCCTCTGTCTCACCCACTCCGTGCAACTCATGACATCTAATCTTTACCTGGACCCTGCAGCTGTCTCCATTTAAAGACGGGGAAACGGAGGCCCCAAAAGGAGAAGCCACTTGTCCTGCAACACACAGTAGGTAACGGTACAGCCTGGACTTGAACTCAGAGTTGTCTGCCTAAAAGCCTGAGCTGTTCCTCCTGCTCCCTACTGCCACCCTGGGTGGGGTCCCTGAGTGGGGGTACATAAAGAGAGGGACTGCTTCCCCTTCTGTCAACAGCTCAGGCCCAAATCCCATCAATACAGGCTGAGAGCATAGGCATTTTTGCCACTATTGTTCATTGTCCTTTTGCTGTGTGTTTAATTGATGTCTGCTCCATTGTGAAGGAGAGCAGGATCCGCTTCAGGAAGACAGAGCTGAGAGTTCTGGTGTCAGGAGTAGGGGTCCCAGAAAGAAGCCTTCTTAGAGGAGGTGTTATCAGAACTGAGCCACAAAAGATGAGGTGCCTGTGTCAGAGGAAGCTATCCCAGGCAGAGGGAACAGCCACAAATACAGAGGAAGAAAACTGCAGGAGCCACAGAGAAGCAAGTGCAGAGCAGGCTTCCACCCCGGTGTGTGCTTCTGCCTTTCCGCTGGGCTGAGCAGGAGGACACAGAACCCTCCCTGTCCTTAGGATCATCAAACTCGATCTGCATCTTGAGGTGCCTCAATTTGCCTTCTAAGTATTGGCAATAAGCCTGCTTATCCAGAAAGCTGAGGTCCGTTTGCTTTTTCTTTTATTTTTTATTATTGTGTGTGTGTGTGTGTACCGTCAAATCAGATCTCACTGGTACAGGAGGAGATTGCCCCTCCTTCTCCAGCAGAGCATCTGGTGGATTCGAACCATGTACCTCTGGGATTGCAGTGCAGCTTCTTGCCGCTAGGCCACCATTTGCTTTTTTTTTTCAGATTCCCTCCAGACTTGAGCGGTGACACAGGCCTCCTCTGGCTGTGGGATAGAGGCAGCGAGCTCCGCAGGGTCTGAAGTTGCTGAAGCCATCTCACTTCCAAGAGCTCAGAGTACTGGTCCTGAAACACAGCCGAGTAGCAACTCCGCTTGTGCACGCAGGCCCCTGACGCTCTACGTCCAAGAACTCGGCTCCGTCTTCCTACTCACTGGTGGGTATTTAAGCTCATAGCCGGGTAGTTGGGCAGCAGTGCCTCAGCATACATTCCCCAGAGGTGGCTCCAATAGGCTTCTTTGTTCTCAAGAGAGTCTGGGGACCCAGCTCAACCTCAAGTATAATCTTCTTGTGTCCAGCTCGGTGGGCTCTGGGCTGCGGTTGGTGCAGACTGTGTGACAGGCTGGCTTCCAGGTCTCAGGGGTTTCTTTGCTGCAGATGCAGGGGCTCAGGGCCAGGAGGGTGGAACTGGGGGTTCCCCTAGGAGCCACAAGTTTGGGGCATCTCTCTCGTGGACATTAGTCTCTGAGCCTATCACCTCTCAGGAGTCCTTAGGGTGGTGGGTGTGTCCTGTGAGTGGTGTTATGGCCTGGGGGGGTGGGGTGGTCGGCAGGCAGCCTGTCCCTGGGTCCGGGTCTCCAAAACTAGGTTGGCTTCCGGAGAGAGTCCCTGGCTGCTCCAGTTGTACATTGTCTGGAGGTGCCCCAGGGCTGTCAGGGTGACTCTGCAGGACGTGATGGACATGGTCTGTCTATCATTCATTTTCTGAGCAACTACAGAAGGCCCTCGGGGGAGCTTTCTCAAGCTCATTTTATAGATGGGGAAGATGATGTCAGAGTTTATGGCTGGCAGATCCAGAATTTGAAGTCTGTCTCACAGATTCGGGGTTATTCGTCTGTTTGGGGTTCTCCCCACCATTCCACAGCCTCCAATTGACAAATATCAAGGCTTGTCACGGAGTCAAGGCCCCAATTCACAGAGGTCACCCCTGCGGCTGTGGGTCTCCTGAACCTCCCTCCCGTCTCTTTCTAGGTGCCACCCGGGGGTGAAGGATGCTGCTCTGCGTGTTCCTCCTTGTGATCCTAACCCTCAGCAGTGGTTCCCACTTCTCTCCACCCACCCTGCCCCTCAGGTAAGCAGCTTTGCCAAAAGAGTCCAAGTTCTTGGTGGCCCCCAGGCTATCCCTGCCACAAGGGCTGAAGGTGCAAAACCAAGCCATCAACTGGTCCCCAGAAATTCCCCTACTGCCCATCTCCAGAAAGGGAGGATGTGGAGCTCCAGGGGGCTGAGCCTCTCTGGGGGTGAGCGGACAGAGGGGAACAAAGAAAGGGTGACTGCAGCTCCCATCATGCCCTTGCCTGGCCCCAGTTACCCACTCTCTGGTTCTCCCTTTGCTCCAGGGCAAGGAGGTATGCAGAAGCCATCTTCAGCAACAGCTACCGGAGAGTGCTGGCCCAGCTGTCTGCCCGCCAGCTCCTCCTGGACATCATGAACGGGCAGCAGGGGTAAGCTTTTGTCTAGTGCTTTCGTCCACACTCAGCTGAGAGGCTCTAACACCAGAGGGTAGGGACCGTGTTTTATCCATTCCCCTGTACAAACTCAGCAAAACCAAATCCACTGCTGTCAGGTCAATCCTAACTCATAGTGCCCCTAGAGGACAGAGTAGGACTAGCACCATCAGTTTCCAGGGTTGTAAATGGCTACATGACTTCTCATCTTCTCACTATGTCTTTCTCCTGGGGAGTAACCAGTGGGTTTGAAGTGCCATCCGTTTGATTGGCAGCCAGTAGCTTAACCACTGGGCAACTAGGGCTTCCTTCTTCCTTTGGATAGCATCTATTATGCCTGTCATTTCAATATCCCAGAAGGGTATCAATGTCAAACCTCAGCTTCCTTCCATCAAATGCTCGCTACTTTGTCCAAGAGCTCCGGTGGCCTGCTGGGTAACGAGTTGTGCTGCCAATGCAAAGGTATGAGGTTCGAAAACAGGCAGCCTCCTCCTGTATAATTTACAGCCCCTGAAATTCCACTAGAGAGTCAGCTCTGAGTTGGTTCCAACTTGCTTGAATTGGCAATGAGTTTGAGTTTGAAATGGTTTGTATATGTTTCTCCCTATGCTAGTCTCCCATGCTAACACTGTAACGGTAGCTTCTGTTTGATTTTTCATTAGATCGGGACTCCACACCACACTGAGGGGCGCTGCACCGGACCATTTGCATGCATTTGGTACACAGTGAGCTCTTGACAAGTGTTTGCCATTACTTTTCGTTTCTTACCAATCTTTCCAACCATCCTATAAAACAGATTCTCTTACCTTCACTTTGTTGTTGTTGTGGTGGTGGTGGTGGTGTACCATCAAGTCAAAACCTACTCCTAGCTGACCCTCTTCTGGGTTTTCAGAGGCTGTAAATTGCATAGGAGGAGAATGCCCATTCTTCTCCCTTGGAGCAGCCAAGTGATTCAAACCATGTGCCTCTGAGATGGAAAATAACTCTTTACCACTAGGCTACCTGAGGTTAATCACAGCCTAAAGGACACACGACTAAAGAAAGGCAGAGCGAGGGCTCAGTCTAACTCCACAGCCTGTGCTGTGTTTCAGTTTTTCTTTTTGACACAGAAAAAAAATTCAAACTTGGAGAAAAGTTGTGAGGATATAGTACATTGGACTTCTTCACCTGTCTAGTCCTATAATCACAGATTCCTAAAATTTTACCCACTTTCTTACTCTATGGCTATGCCTGTTGTTGTAGGCTGTTTGGTTGGGACAGACCCATAGCTGATCCTCCTGAGAGTTTTCACAGGCACTAAATCGCATGGAAGGAGATTGCCCATCCTTCTCCCAAGGAGCAGCAGGCAATTCAAACTACATGCAGCTCAGTATCTTCCTACTAGGCCACCAAACTCCTTATATCACTATACCTACAGATACATAGAACATACACAAATTAATAATAATAATAAATAACAATAATAATTACTATTATTATTTTGTTGAACCACTTGAGAATAAATTTTGGTCATGATCCTTTACCTATAGTCATTTCCAAGTGGGTCTCTTAAAACCCAGCAATACGATGGCCCCTATTTACAGAACCACAGTGTGGTTAATCACCAGTTATAATCCATACTCAAATTTTACCATTGTCCCAGTTGTCCTTTGTAACAACGGTTTCCCTTTCGGTCCTAGAAGCCATTCCTAACTCACGGGGTGCATTTATTTAGTTGTCATGCCTCCTCAATCTCTTTTAATCTGCGATAGGTCCTCAGTCCTTGGTGACACTGACAGTTTTGCTTAACGAAGGCCAGTTGCGTAGAGGATTGTCCTTAGATGTTGGATTTGTCTGGTGTATCTTCATGGTCAGATTCAGGTTGTGCGTTCAAGGGAGTGACACTGTGTCCTTCTCAGTTCATGATTCCAGGAAGCACCAGATGTCAATTTGGTGACGTTACTTCTGCTCACTTGAGTAATGCGGTGGCTGCCAGTTTTCTCCTTTGTAAAGCTCCAAATATCCCCCTTTGTAATGAACAAACCATCTGAGGGGAGGGATTTGAGAGGAGGGATTTTCAACTGTGTGTCTACTGGTTATGGATGCTGCCTCTCTAAACTTGGTGAATCTGATCTGGCTGGAAGGGTCTGTCTGCACCACAGTGTGTGTGGACATAGACATAGAGATCCCCCCAACTCAGCTTGTCTATATTTTCAGAGGTCTCCCTTTGTCCTGGTCCCTGCCAAGCCTCTCCACAGTTTTACTTAAATAGCATCTTCACAGTTTCTCTTTTTCTAACCAACTAGAGCAAGAAACCAGGAGCAAGAAGCCAAAGTTCGGCTGGGCCGTCAGGTGGAGACCATGTGGACAGATCAAAAGCAGATGGCTCTGGAGAGCATCCTAGTGGCACTGCTGCAAAAGCACAGGTAAATACATGAGAGAGAGAAACAGACAGACAGAGACAGAGACAGTGTGTTTATGGACCTTAGAGGCCTCTCTTGCTTCTCAAAGGCGCTGGCAAGCAAACTGGCAGCAAAGTCCTGTCTTTTACACACACACACACACACACACACACACACACACACACCTATCAAGGACCATCAAGGACTGGACGAAGGGTGCTGGGTTGTGGTAGTGGACGTTGCTGATAATTGCACAGTATGATTGTTATAATTGGTTTCATTGAGTTACCCAAGTGAAAAGTACTAAACTTGACAAATGTCAAATACTGTGTTACCTATATTTTTCCAACAGTTTTTTTGAAAACCAAAAACAGCAATGCTGTCATTCTCTATCTCACTGACCCCCCACCCCATGTCCCAGCAGACGGTGAGAGAGATCAGGAATGAGTTTTTCCTTCCTAGAGATGAGGAAAACTGATCAAAGGGTAACAGCTGGTTTCAGGTCAAAGACAGCCTCCCTGGGCTTCTGGGCACAAGCTCTCCTCTATGGGCGAAGCTTCCTAAGAAACATAACTTTGGAGAGACAGCTGCATTGTAGAGGCTGATTTCAAGCCAAGAACACAGCATGTCCCAACGTGCCTCTGTCAGACGCTTCTGAACACAATTTTAAACAGATGCAACTCTCCATGCACCCCCTCACTTTCTCCTCAGCCTAATTTGACACCAAGAGCCCAGAGATCTCACCAACTACAGTCTTGCAAAGTGGCAGCATGTTGATGGGGACTGTAGGAGGGGCGGGAACCAAGGCTGGCAGAGAGAAGGACATCTGGGCCCCAGCCTGATTCTGCCACTAACAGTGGTGGAGCCATAGACCATCACCCTCCACGTTTCCTCTTCTTTGAATGAAGAGAGTTAGCTCACATCATCACGAATCCTAAAAATGATGTCTTTAGGAAAATGTCTCCCCTGAGCCTCTCAGCCCGTGATCGGGGAACCATTCACTTGTTTTATAGGCTCGTACCAGACACTCGGGGTTAACATGGCCCTGAAGAGGGCAGTCCCAAGAACGCAGGCTTTGTTCCTGTAGGTAAAAATCCAGACGCGCCTCCCCCAGAGTCACTGGAGACTTAGATGCTGCAACAGCCAATATTCACCTTCTGTCTCAACTGTTAGAAATATCAAGAGTTTCTGTGGGGCTGAGAGAATCCAAAAGAAGAATGAGCCTTTACACCTTTCTAGCATAGAAACCAGCCCATTCCACTTGATTCCAGTTCATGGCAAACCCACGTGAACTCCATAAGAAGTTGTTTGGTCATCAGGCCTTTCTTTTGAAGAGTCTTAGGGGTGGGGAGTAGACTTGAACCTTCCACCTTTCAGTAGCAGCCAACGGTGTTAACTATATATGCACTAATTCAGACCCAACTTCAACTCACTACCGCCAAACTGACTCACAGCTGGCCCTCTAGTGACTAAAGCTATAAATAATTTTTAGATGTTATAAATCACATGAGAGGAGGTTCAAACCTCCCACCTTTTACACTAGGCACCAGAGCATCTCAGGCTAGGGGAGTGAATTTCTTAGGGCCCTTACACCACGTTCTCCATGTATCAGCCCTGTAAAGCAACAGAGGCTCCAATTTACCGTCCTTCATTCTTCAGTGACTGCTTTGTACCAGGCTCTGGGCTGGGGGTTGAAGCGGTGAAAGGACAGTGGGGATCCCTGCTCACCTGGAATTCAGAACACGACGGGAGGCTCTTTCATCGTGAGGAATAGTCAGAGATGCAAAGTGTGCTGTGGTCACGTGTCCTGGGAAGATCCTGACGCTGCGTGAAGATTAATGGCTGCTGCTTTGAGGGGCAATGACCCAGAGTGTCAGAGGGAACAAGGTAGCAGAGCTGGGCTTGAGGCTGTGGTACTCTTCCCTCCACTCACCCTGCCTCTTTTGAACCCTTAACACCCAGCTCCCAACACTGAGGTACTGTTACACCGGGGCTTGGCACTCCTGCCCCAACTTACCCTTCATTAAGCCTCCAGATCGAACTTTTTCTTTCTTCCTGCAGCAGGAATTCCCAAGGATGAAGAGTCTGCCTATGCTTTCTGCTGCCTGCAGCCAAACTGCAGCTGAATCCGGTTAATCCTATTAATTCCTGACCTACTTTTCCCTTGTAAATACAATAAAAGCCTCCCTCCCCATCCTGGTCTGTATTTCAATTTTCTTTTATCTTCCGCCTAATTTTCTCACATGGGTTTTACACAGTCATATTTCCCGAAGTGATGCGCAAAAAGCGTCATTAAAAAAACAGCTAAAATTTAAAAGTGCAACAATGAATGAATGGAATTCCAAAATCTCTGTAGATGTTCATTGAAATTAAAAAAAAAAAATATAAAAGAAAGCAAAACAAAAACCAGCGAAAATTTACCACTCAGGGCATTGGCTTCACGTGTGGAATCTCCCACGCCCTTTGCACAGCCTGGAACTCCTCACTGGCAATCCCTGCAATCCTCTTGCATGGAGGAACTGAGGTGTGGAAAAGTTGAGTGAACTGTCTGAGGCCACACACACATGCTCGCAGATGAGAGCTGAGATTCAGACTAGGGTTTCAAATGAACCAGTTCTTTCTGGTTCGCCTCCCTGCTGAGAATTTGCATTTCCACACCAGAAATCATCAATCAGAATCTCCATTTTAACAAGGACCCCGAATGACTCGTATGTACACAGACTGGTCAGCTGGGATCTAGAAGCAAATGAAAAGCTTGTTAAAATGTAAGTTTTGATTTGGTAGATCTGGAGTAGAAATGCAAATTCTTAGCAGGTAGCAGAAACAAAATGAACCAGTTTGAAGCCCCTGATTCAAACTCAGGCAGCATAGTCTAGACAAAGTCTCTTAATCATGCTTGTCTACTTAAAGGCAAAGTTTTGTTTGTCCATAAGCAATAACCATTTTATTCATCTAACAAATCATTCCAGAGCACCTTCTGTGCCAGGCACTGTTCTAGTTGTCCGTGAGCGAGCAAAGGGTCGTGACGACATCTTGGAATATACGTGTATGGGAGACAGAAATGAAATAATAAAAACAAGAAAACACAGAATACATCAGGTGGTTAAAAAGTAAGAGATGTGAATGAATGGATATCCAAAATATCTGTAAATGTTCATTAAAATTAATAAAATAAAATTTAAAAAATATTGGTTTGAATCTCAAAAAAAGTAAGGGATGGAAAGTGCTGGCAGAAGATTATTTTATACATAATGTAAACATGTGCTGTCTAGCAGTACGTGACATTTTAGTAAAAATCCAAATGATGCGAGAGTGAGCCTTGTGAATGAATAACTGGTTGAGGCACGCTGCAGGCAGAGAGAAACCTCAGAGGTCCTGAGACAAGAATAAAGGGAGAAACAAGACCAATGTGGCTGAGGGGGTGGAACGGGGTGGGGGTGGGGGGAAAGAGGCAAAGCAGGAGTGGAAGGCTGGTTGCTGGAGGCCCCTGGAACCCACAGTCAGGAGTCTGGATCCTAGCCACTGAGAAATGGGCACCTCTTCAGAGTTCAAGAAGGGTGGTGTAATCTCAGGGGTGGGTGGTACAGTAGATAGGCTTGGCAGCCATTGGCAGTCAGACATACATTAAAGTCAAGAGACGAGGTTAGACCACTAAGAGAAGACAGAGGACCAAGGATTAACTGAAAATTCAGAGGAAAAATGAACAACAAGCAGCTAGTGATAGAGAGAGAGGGAGCAGCTAGTGAGGTAACAGAAAAACTAAGGGAAGGATGAACCTCAGAAACCAAACTGACGAAGTGTTTTAAGAAGTTTCCCGCTTTACCACCCGCTCCCCCCTCTCCCTGAGCCCTGCTCTTGCTGCAGCGCGCTCGCTCAGAGCTCCGGCTCCGGCTCAGCTAGTGCCGCCGTCGTCTCCTTGTTGCCATCATGATCATCTACCGGGACCTCATCAGCCATGATGAGCTGTTCTCCGACATCTACAAAATCCGGGAGATCGCAGGCGGACTGTGCTTGGAGGTGGAGGGGAAGATGGTCAGTAGGACGGAGGGTAACATTGATGACTCGCTCATTGGTGGAAACGCCTCTGCTGAAGGCACCGATTGTGAAGGAACCGAAACCACAGTAATCACTGGTGTTGACATCGTCATGAACCATCACTTGCAGGAAACCAGCTTCACAAAAGAAGCTTACAAGAAGTACATCAAGGATTACATGAAATCACTCAAAGGCAAACTTGAAGAACAAAAACCAGAAAGAGTAAAACCTTTTATGACGGGGGCTGCAGAACAGATCAAGCACATCCTTGCTAATTTCAAAAACTACCAGTTCTTTATTGGTGAAAACATGAATCCAGATGGCATGGTCGCTCTGCTGGACTACCGTGAGGATGGTGTGACTCCATTCATGATTTTCTTTAAGGATGGTTTAGAAATGGAGAAATGTTAACAAATTTGGCACTTCTTTGGATCCAACACCTGTCATCTGATCTGACTGCTGCTTTTCATCACCACACCAGGACTTCGACAAATGCGACTGAGATACCATCTTGAGCTCTCCATTTTAATTTTGACCTTCATTTATTTGGAGCGGAGGCATTTTTTTTAAAGGGAAAAAATGTCATAGGTTGTCTAAAAATAAAGTGTGTTTAAACTAAAAAAAAAAAAAAAAAAAGAAGTTTCCCAGTGCCAAATGCTGCTGATGAGTGAGGATATTCCAAGAACTGACCGCTGACTAGGTAATGTGGAGATCACTGGTGACTTTGGGAAGAACAAAAAAGGGTTGGGTTGTAAAGGCAAAAATCTGATTTTGTACAAGAGAAAAACAGTGTTAGTGATTTGTCCATTATGGTGGCCACTGGCTACAAGGGGAACCCTGGCAGTATAGTCCTTAGCAAGTACTGTAAGCAACCTTGGCAGTTCAAATCTACCAGCAGCTCTGAGGAAGAGCCACAGACATTCTACTCCCCTGGACGGTTGCTGTGTCTCAGTGTCAGTTGTTTTGTTTTTTACTGCAAGTGCTTATTGAACAATTGAAATGTAACTAGTGTAAACAAAAATGAGTCTGAAGCATAAAACACATGCTGTGGGGAGCTCTGATGCCACGGGCCGGTAAAGAGTTGCTCTTCTGACTCAAAGGCCACACCTCTCTGGTGGTGAAACCCATGACTGTCTTTGAGGGATAACAATAGGCAATCTCCTGCATGCTCAGTTTAAGTGCAAACTCATTGCCATCAAATCAGAAGCAACTCATAGCTGATCCCCCAATGAGTTTTCAGAGGCTGTAACCTGAACCAGTGGAGATCGCCCATCTTTCTCTCAAGGAGCTACTGGTGGGTTCACATCATCTGCCTTAAGGGTGGCAGTGTAACTCCTTAACACTCGGGCCACCGGAGCTCTCTTAGACACCTGATAGAGGGCTATTTATTAGTCAGTTCTGATTTGACAACAACAAATATGAGTATGAAAAAAAGAATGGAAGGTATGTACATTTTATTCAACTTTATTACAAATAGCCAGGATGACCATTCTGGAGCTTCCTCAAAAAAGCTGAACATAGAAATTCCATATGACTCAGCTATTTCACTACTTGGAATATACCCTGAGAATATGAGAACTGAGGTACAAACTGAGATTTGTACACCAATGTTCATAGCAGCATCATCCACCATCGCAAGAGCATGGAAACAGCCTAAATGTCCAACCAAATACAAATGGATTGAGAAATTATGGTACATTCACAAAATGGAACACTATGCAGCAAGTAGGAGCAATGATTTTGTAAATTGTTGCCTAACTTGGGAGGGACTGGAGAGCATTATGCTGAGTGAATGAACTCAGTCCCATAAGGACAAATATTGTATAAAACCCCCATTATTGTAGAATGAGTATAAGGATTCTGGAGGGGTGGGAGAGGGTGGAAGCAGAGGGATGCGGATGTGCAGGGGGAGAGGAGGATCAATCATCGGGTTATACAATTTGATGGGTGGGGGTGTGAGGAAAGTTGAAAGACTTTGTTCGATTTTGTATTAGAATTTTGTAAACAAACTAGTAGAAAAAATAATAGCCAGAAGGTAACCCAAGTGCTCAATCTATTAACAAAAGGCAGTATTTAACAATGTTTTAGAGTGATATCACCAACTCTACTTAAATAAAAACAAATTTATTGAGGGATAGAGATGTCCAGATTGGAGAAACACTGTCACATTATCAGAATAAAAAAGGCCACTCTGCTAGATTGCAAAAAAGTTGCATTTTTAATTTTATTATTTTGTGTGTGTGTACTGTCAAATCGGATCTGACTGGTACAGAAAGAGATTGTCCCTCCTTCTCCAGCACAGCATCTGGTGGATTTGGACTGCGTACCTCTGGGATTGAAGTGCAGCTTTTTGCCACTAGGCCACCAGAGTTCCCCAAAAGTTGTATTTTTAAAGCAGGATTAAAGACTATAAATTTAATAATTGGCTGGAAGATCATGAGGGACATTAAAGGTGGGATACCTAGAAGCAAACTATTGCAGCCATAAATCCATAAATAGGATTATACAGCTGGTCATACGTACAGCCTACGGTGAGCCCAGAATGATAGGCAGAAAAAGTTCTTCTAGTAATTTATTTCTGCTCAATCATATCTATTTCTGGAGGTCCATTGTAAAGATGTAGATAATACTGTATCTCAAGACCTCTGAGGAATAGATTAGATGCATGTGCCAACTAGCTCTAAGAAAAGGAATTATCTCATTGAGATATATGGCCCAAGACAATACCAGAGTTAAAGGGCTGCCACTTGAAAAAAGTGTCCTTTAAAAAGCCAACATGAATTCCAGATGCATGTCAGGATTTTAAAAAAATGTAGTTATGGCTCTACTTTAAGCTCTTTTTATTTACATATGCACCAATTGCCTAAGACTCTAGACTTTCAGACACATGCAATGGGATATTACTCAGTAGTGAAAAGAAATATTATGATACAACATCCTCATTTATAACACTGATAAACTTTGACAATATTAGGAGTGAAAAGTCATACACAAGAGGACACATATTCTATGAATCTCACTTATACAATTCCAGAACACTTAATT